TACAAAACCAGATGGGATCACATCTAATTCACATTTTCCTTTTTTCCTGAAAATCTTTACGAGAATTGGATGGGAAAAGAACTAATGAGGGCGGAAGCTCTGTTAGTTAGAATAAATTACAATTATATAATATAAAACGATCAATTCCTCCTATTTTCATCATAACTTTTTAATAGGAATATATATATAAGAATTTCTATATAATCCTAGTAGACAATATACTAAAGAACCAGTCTGCGATATTCTGTGACTTGGTTGTGTGACAAAATTTAACATTAGCATGACGAAACAGAAATCTACCAGACAAATTGGATCTGAACCAGCCAAGTCATGTTCCTTGTCTTTGCACACCATGTTCAAGCTTATGTAAAAGAATAATATAATCTACAATGTATAAATGTATAATTATTATAATAAGGTGAGTTTTCAGCAACTGCAAGCTCAGCCTCAAGAACTGCTAAATGGAAACTGGACTACAACAAATATGACATCAATTAATCTTTAAGACCTAAAGACGAGGCCTTTGTCAAAAAACAAAACAGACTGAGCGACAAAATATTTAGATTCAGGTAGTAAGATGACAGTTCTGACAAGGTTGTGTTTTGGGTCACAAAGACAAACAAGAATCAAACCAGGTGGTGCTATGCAACAGCAACCTAATTAATGCCAGCTTACGAAATGTTGTAGTGAAAATTAGGCTGTAAAACAATACTTAGGGAAAACTTAGAAGTAAATGTAATGGAAAAAAATCAGTAGCTGCTTCTCAAGACTAAACAGAAAACACTGCAACAAAAAGACACTTACAGCCATAAAAGAAAGTGCTTTTTAAAAATGCAAACAATGGATCCATGATGAAGTAGATCAAAAAAAAAAAAAGAACAACATGCAGATTTAAAACAGACTACAGGTATTCAAGGTTTGGAAGTGTGAAAGGCAGACAGCTGGATGAGTTCCACAGACTGCAGTTAGCAATTAACTGTCAAGAGGTGAGACAGTCCTGTCAGCCCCTGTAGATCTGAAAAATGCACAGGCAGAGAGAATAGTTGGTGAGTCTGACGAGTGGAAAAGTTAAAGAACCAGAAGGCAATCCTCACCGAATGAGTCCTGAACAAGATCTGCATAACTATAAAACAACGAACAAATGAGACGCAATCACTCAGCTCTCATATATTCAGAACCACTTCAATGTTTTGTAGAGAAAAAAATGAATTCACTTTTCTTATTGTTTTTTATACAAAAGTTATTGTTTTCTCCCAAAAGAAAATATCAAACCCCTGCCTAGGTGTCCATTTCTCTACACACTGTTCTTTAAATAGTGGATGGTGCTTCACTAAAGCTTTCACTTTATCTATGGGGAGTAGTAGTTGGTATTAAAATAATAAAACCAGCCTATCAGTCTGAATGGTAAATTTTCTCAATCAAAGAACCAAATTGCTATTGTCATGAAAGGACTGAGAGGAATACAAAATAAACATGCATTTTCAAAATAACAGTATGAACACTTACCTAGTAAATAAAAAGAATCCATACTGAGAAAAATAAGCAATCACACTAATAATTTATAATTCATATTAATAATTTACCTTTTGGAGCGATAAAGCATTTTTTAAAACTGATTTGAAATTAAGAAAAATTATTAATTAACAGTGATTAATTCACTTCTGAAATATAAACAAACAATTGCATGACCCCATTTAAAGGGAATCATGAAAACAAACAGCAGTAGTGTTTAAACCATTTGGATTTTCTTTCTTTTTTCTTTCTCTAAATCTGGAGCGGTAAACTGACAGTTACAAGTCTAGTTTAGGTTTTCTAAATACCCACCAGGACACTTCAAAAATTTTAAAAGAATTCACAAACATCTGAAGCTCAAAAGAAGAAAGCCCAGGTCAGAAGCTAGAAACAGCCTTTTTATAGAACACCAACAAGTATGTTCAGTAGATTCAGACTTTGTTTTCTCTCTGAAACCAACGGGGGCTTCTTCCCCATGCTTTCTACACATCTCTTGGCCTTGACTCAAACAGTTGCTGTCTCCCTGAGGGGGTACTCTAAGGCTGGAGGGCTGATAGGTCTTCCTCTCTTGTTAATTCAGAACAGGTAACTCTAAACAGGTCAAAACATTTATGTAAAGATTAAGGAATTTTCCCATATATAAGAAAATGCAACAATAGTGCATCAAAGTTGTGTTTTGATTCAGCAGTATATTGTTTCTGGTTGCAACTGTCATTGATCTCCATCTCTTTCTTCTCCATTGCGTTTTCTTTACTGTGAGGAAAATGTTGCTTTTTTAAATCTTCTATCCTAACACACATACATACACATACACATTCATAAAATGTATTTACATAACAGTTTTATAACCTTTATATTTTGTTAATCTCAAGAACAAAGCTGTTTAAATAAAACATTATGAGATTGAAATAAGGATTTTTCAATCATTTTGGTCAGAATGGTAATGTGTTTTCATCTATATGATTATTTAATACAAGAAATGTTTTTGTGTTTTTTATATATTTCAAACATTCTCACTATATGCCAAATATACTGGCCATTGACAGCCAGCCCACTGATTTAAAACTACTATTTTTTTGTCTGATTCTGTCACATGTTGACTTCCCTGCTTCTGTGCCTTTTCTGATAGCCGTTATATAATCAACAATAGAGCATAAGCTACATTATTTGAAAAAAATATACATATAGAGACTGAAGTTTTAAGAAAAAATAAGTAAAGCTCAGTTTCTTTAGTGCCTAAATTCATATGGTGTATGTCTATAAGACAACATGTGAAACAATGGGCAGGCAGCCTTGCTGAGCTAAGGCTGTTGGAACTGTGCTTTATGTCAAGGTGGATGAAATATGAAAACAAAACACCAGCCATTTTGACCTGAAACCTCCAGGTGTCTGTTAGCTGAAGATAAAGAGAGATTTAATTTTGCAGCATCACAGTGAGTCCAAGCATGTGTTGGGTTTCGACAAAAGAATGGCTGCACAGTAAAACCCTGCAACAAAGTCAAAGTTTTGGAAGGAAAGAAATTTACAGGCCAAAAGTGAAATATTTCATTAAAAGATAACCTGGTAATAAAAAAATGTTGCTTTACAACAAAAACTAACTAACTAACTAAATAACTAACTAATTAACTAACTAAATTTATTAACAAATAAGGTGATTATTTTCTGTTGTTGAGCAGCCTTATACTTATAGTTTGATGACTTTGAATACAGAATTACCACTAGAAAACAAAAGTAGTGGGTGTTAAGAAGAAACACATCTTCCTATAACCGCCAAAGCTAGTTATCTATTCTCCTTTTACACAGAATAGAATAAAATCTATATGTTTTGTATGAGCACAAGCCCTGTCACCTGTCAAACTTTTGCCGGTAAAGGTAAAGATACAGTGGTCTTACCTGACTCTGAATATACATTCTGCAGTTTGACTGAAATATAAATGAGCTGACTACATACATTTCAAAGCAAGACGGAAAAGCACCGTGTGGGTTGTTGTGAATGGTGAGTGAGAAATACTTCAGTTGCTTTCTAGAAATTTGAAAAAGGGAGAAAAAGCTGGTTAAAGAATATTTTCTGTATAAAAATCTTTTTTGGCATAATGTAAGATGGACCTTTTTTTTTTTTTTACAGCAAGGCTTTGTTCACGGCATGAATCAAGTTATGTCCTGACTGCAGAATGTTGAAGTTCATATTGATCTTTTCTTCCAACATGTGAGAATGAATATTAGTTTTTTTTTCCGAAAAGGCTGAAAGTCAATGGTTTTTAAATGCTTTGTTAGCAGTATATTCTAAATGATAACACTTCGCTTAGTAGAAATACCGTGCAGAATACTAGTTTGAGCTTTGTGAATGCCACCACAGCACAGAGCAGATTTATATGTTGATAAGCCTAAAGGGCATCTTTAAACAAACAAAAAAGGCAAAACAAGATATTGGTATTTTTGAATGGAAAACAAGAATGGAAAAACTTCAAAACACAACCTTTGACTTTTATGTTTTATTTGTTAAACCTAAATGTTAAAGTTTGACAGTTTTTATGTTCAAAGGGCAATATTTAAAACAAGTTCAGCAAGTATAAAACTTGTGGTTGCTATATACATGAAAACTTTTACCCAATAAATCGATGATTTTGTTTCAGGTGAAGAGGGCTTAACATACAGAAAGACAGAAGCTGTTACCAAAATATGTATGTCGATTTTTCCAGTCTAGTCATGTACCCTAAAACATCTCTTTGGTGTCCAGGCGGACTTAGAAATTTTAAGATTGTTCTTTTGCTTTTCCCTCCCATCTTCCTATTTTATGCTGCCATCTTACATTGGAAATACCGGCAGAACTTTAATTTAGATCTTTTTAAATAATCTTGCTGCTGCTATCTAGAGATTAGGGTTAGCCTGCAGACAAGGCCCCTCTTTCGTCTTTATGCGTCCAATGGGTCCCATTCTGGTGGGGCTTGCCCGCAACCAATAGGGGATTGATATCCAAAGGAAAATGACAAGTCATTCAAAAGCTCTGCCTTTTGGAACTGTTTTTTCTCTACCATATGACAGTAGTGCAGAACCATCTTTCAGACTCCCAATCCTTTCTTCCCTCACTCATGAACAGGATTTGAAGGTCCTTCAACTCCTTCCCTTGAGTCTGGAACTCCCCTCTGACCTATACAGGACCCTTCTCCAGTTAAGAACCATGAACTTAGACTTGAAGGAACTGATTTTCAAAGCTCCAATATCAGCTTGGATACACACACACACCCACACACCTTTTAAGTTGGCACTTCATGTAGAAAGGTCAAGCATAACCCTTTAGATGAATCCATTCTTATTCCATTAAAATGATCAGATTTTTTTTTATAGCCAGCTATATTTCCTCCTATACATGATAAAACTTTTTAAAGAAGGTGAAAAACATTAGTATTGTGATTCCATCCATTTTCTCCCTGACCTGTATCATTACAACAACATTGACCTAGAGACCATCATATTCTATTTCATTTCAGATGGAAAATATCAGACTTGAAGCAGCACGGACTGATTTGTTCACGGACTCAAAAGGAAAATTGGTAGAAGATAAGACGACAGCAGAAAGCAGAAGTCTGTTCCCGGTTTGTGAGCTGCACATTAAGGAACCCGATGAGCAGCTCAGTCCAAATGGAAAAGAAGTGGGAACATCTTTTGGTACCACTGGCAGGAACATGGAAGTGTTTGAAGCTTGTTTGTAAAGTATTATATTCCAATGTTTCTCAGTAGAGAGTTATCTGCCAATCACATACTATTGCAGCTAATTATGCATAAGAAGGCGATTTTCACTTTATCAGATTGAGTAAAGGCTTGAATCTTTGTAGCTGCTAACAGTTGCAGGCAGCTTATATTAAAAAGGGATAATACAACTGCCAAAAACTGATTATATAAGATCACCCTCTCGAAATTCTTTGTAATATTTTTAACAGTAAGTCATTTATTACAGAATAAAGCTGTGATCTGTTAGTCTTTTGTTAAATGTTTAATTCCTTTCTTCTGACATGTTGAGACGCTGTCTTGTCAACTTAAAAAGCATTTAGAAATGCAATAGATTTCTTTTTAAGCAGACAAATATAGAGGGATTGGATAGAAATCTATGGGGCCAAAATGGTAGCTTTAATATTTGCAAATGTGTGTGGAGAGTTGTGTGTCTGTATCTCGATTTGTGTGTGTGCAGTGGGATTTGAAAATGTGTAAATAAATCTGTAAATGTGTGAGGAGATTTGTGTGTCTGTACAACAATCTGCAAATGTGTAAAACTACTTGTGTGTAATCCATTTTGCAAATGTGTAAAAAATCCACAAATCTGTATTCAGATCTACAAATGTGTACTGAGATTTGCAAATGTGTAAAAAATCCACAAATCTGTATTCAGATCTGCAAATGTGTACTGAGACTTGCAAATGTGAAAATAAATCCACAAATCTGTATTCAGATCTGCAAATGTGTACTGAGACTTGCAAATGTGTAGATCAATCTGTAAGCACACACAGAGACACTTGCGTCTGAAGTATTTTCGCTTCAAGACCCAGAAATACAGACAAATCATTGGTTACAAGTCAAGCGGTTTTTCGGTTGGCTCTCTTTACACACGTGATTTTTGCTACTCTTCTGCCGCGTGAGATGCACAAATGTGTGGAAGGATTTGTATGTGTATTTTCGCGATTTGTAACCCCTTGCGCAGGCTCGCAGGCTCACATGCTGCCCTGACCGCAGGCCAAGAGAGCCAACCGAAAAACCGCTTGACTTGTAACCAATGATTTGTCTGTATCTCTGGGTCTTGAAGCGAAAATACTTCAGACACAAGTGTCTCTGTGTGTGCTTACAGATTGATCTACACATTTGCAGATCTGAATACAGATTTGTGGATTTTTTACACATTTGCAAGTCTCAGTACACATTTGCAGATCTGAATACAGATTTGTGGATTTTTTACACATTTGCAAATCTCAGTACACATTTGCAGATCTGAATACAGATTTGTGGATTTTTTACACATTTGCAAAACGGATTACACACAAGTAGTTTTACACATTTGCAGATTGTTGTACAGACACACAAATCTCCTCACACATTTACAGATTTATTTACACATTTTCAAATCCCACTGCACACACACAAATCGAGATACAGACACACAACTCTCCACACACATTTGCAAATATTAAAGCTACCATTTTGGCCCCATAGAAATCAGTCTCTCATAAACAGGGGTTGTCACAATGTCTCTTAAAACAAGGGGAAAGCTAAAACAGTATTAATTGTACGGAAAATCATCAAAGGGTAATTCATATTTGACACAGACCTGTTCAGCTTTGACTAGATGACAAAAATGGCCCTAAGGCTCTCTTTATTCAATAAGTAGCTTGAGGTGCAGTAAAGGTTACCCCATCCTTTAATTAAGAGCCGCCCGACCTCCACTACCTTCTGTTCTGTTATTGTATAAAATCTGTGGAAATTAGGCACCAGACAGGCAATGAAAATGAAAACTCATGCAATTTTAATAGTTGGTTTAATTACATCTTCCATTTGTTTTTGTCTGACTTCCACATTTATCATCGGCTTTTAAAGTATGACTGCTCGATTGCACATGCTTCTCAGAGCACCCTTGGGCTTCACAGTAGGGTGGATTAGAATGCTTTCCTTTATGAGTGGAGAAAACTTTTTATGAGTGGAGCAAATCTTATATGCAGGGGGAAAATAATAAAAGCTGGATGGCCACATAGTTGACTAATCTAGATAGAAACACCTGAAATCAAAGAAGAGGGCTGTGGAGGTAAAAGAGCTGTTTAGGTAAAAGGTAATGAACAGAAGCAGACAAGAATGCAGGGAAAAAAGTCAAAGATAGTAATTTTTTTTGTTAAATACACAATAATAAACTAAGAATCTGATCCACAACGAGTTAACTACCACGGTAGTAACTAGATAACATAAACAATTAAGCAACAGAGACACAACAAAACCCTAAGACTCAATTAATACCGGCCTGTCATATCATCAAGAGTGTAATAGTAATAAATATGAGCCAACAATATGCTTTTAATACATTACTTGAGCATGGTCTCAATATTTAGGTAAATCTAGCACTCCTGCAAACCAAGATGTTTATTTCTCTCTTCAAGTCCCTTAATGACCCCCTTTATTGATGCCATGCTATGATAGCAGAACACTGCAGTGTGTGTTTGACATTTTATATGTAAAATGATGAGCCACATTAAGACTGGTATTTTTCCTTTGGTATGTTACAGCTGCCAAGATCTTAGTCTTTCACTTGAAGTCAGCAATATACAGATATGCTGCCGGGATAGGAAGTTTTCTGAACAAAAACAAATTTTAGTTCAGAAAGAGCAAAATCCTCTCTTTACGTTTGTCCATTCTGTCATCTCAGCTTCTTCACTGAAAAGCTCACAGTACTTAAGAACCTTCCTGTGAGGTGTTAACTTTAATGTATTTCAATTTCAGAAAACCTCACCCTGGGCTGATGGCACTCAGCAGTCAGCTAACAGTTAATAAAAGTGTTTGTCCTCTAAAAGCCCATCTCAGTGATTTTCTCCTGATCATAAATCTTCAAATACAAGATGCCTACTTCAATCACAGTAGTGAATCGAGGGTTACACTCACTGAGTATCTGCAGTCTCTGTGGATTTTACACTGCATTTTAGAAAAGCTTGCAGCGTTTTGGTCAATTTCCTTAAGAATATTGTCTGATGGGAAACTATTTGTACACACCCTAGCAAAAGAGCCCATCTGTGTGCATCTTTAACTCTGTATATATACTTAGTCTCTGATGTTCTTTGACAAACGTCTAAGGTCTTCAGTCTAAAAAAAATAGAATTATTTGGATGAATGAACAAGCCAAATAGTTCAGGGACAAATATCAGGGTTAGACTAAAACAAAACAGTATTAATCAAAATAAAATAAATGTACTTTAAAGGAGCTTTAGTAAACTACAGCAGTGGAGAGAAAATCTGCCAACAGGACCGTTGGATTAGTTTAAAATTGAACTTTGGCAAATATGCATAATACTTCATAGGTGAAACTGACTTTATATCACACTTAAAGCTACAGTGTGTAATAATTACAGAGATTTACTGACAGAAATTGTAACATTATACATAAATATGCGTATGTATGTATATATTATCATCTACTAACTGAAAGTCTCAATCTTTATGTTTAAACTATATGTGTATAAATTGCTATTTATAATTACAGAGGAGCGTACTTATGGAAGCAGACATCATTGCACTACGTCAGCACAGAACTCAGAACCTAGTCACTATAGAGATCCCCGTTACGCTTGAATGTGACTGTGGCAAGTTAGGCCTATATAAAATCTCCACCCAACATGTAGACATATATATAACTTATAAACTTATAAAATAGCATTTATAAAGTTTCCTAAGTAGAAAAAAACCTTGTCATCACTTCACAAGAAAGGTAATGCGGATTTTGAGGTCTTTGTATTGGAGTGAGAGAAGCAGTAGGGAGAGTAGTCTGCAGTCTGACCATTAGATGTTGCTGAGAATTACACACAGTAGCTTTAAAGGAAACTAGTCATATATTATGACTATAAAACCACACAAAAAATGTTAATTATTCATCTTCAAATAAATTATTTTATTTGAAGGATTTGTCCCCCAAAAAATTACCTGGTCATCTTTTATCCTATAAGTAAATTTTTGCACCTGACACCAGCAGCAGGCATAATAATTGTCATACGACTTCACCATCTGCTGGCAGCTTATTACAAAATCTGAAACTTAAACTGTGACAAATATTGTATGCATAACATCTCGTTTAAACTTTTCAAGCACTCTAAGTAATAGCCTGAGAATAGCATTGCTACCACTGGTATCGGTATTACAGTAATGAGGGTATGTACTTAAATAAACCTGGCAGTGAAACAGCAATGTATGTGAGCAATACAACTGGACATCCAGTATTTTCTAATAATTTCATGCCTGATCATGCACTTTCCCTCTTTCTTTTTGCCCCTCTGCTGCTCCCAGAGACACAACATATGTCTATGGCTCTTCCTTGTTTACTGATGCACAAAATATCATACCTTAGGTCACATGGTGTTGTGATGGTAAATATGCACACTGTGCTTTGATTACTTTTCCAATAGTGAAAAAAAAGAAATGTAAAACCCAAAAGTAAAATATAATAAGCTAACAGATTGCAGTAATTTATTTGGAAGATTTTGGTATCCAATCAGAATGAGCTACTAATGTAGAATTTTTATGTATGTAACTACGCACTATCCCACAAAATTACAGCAGCATCATACTGGGAAACAGTTCTTCAGCTTGGACATGAATTAATCTGAAAACGCCATGCTTGTCGGTAGAGGTCCAAAAACTCCTTCAGGTGGATGAATGAGAGACATATTGAAAAGGACACATTCAAACGCTTAATATGTATTTTTGCAAGGCACTCTGATTCTCACTACGAGCATACAACAAAATTTTAAACTGAAGACAATATTCCTTTCTTGAATTGCAAGGAATCTTAAACAGATGCCTTTTTTATCAGACAATTGCTCACATCTATAAACAAAAGGTAAAAAAAAACCTTTACAAGTGTTTTGTTTAAAATGTTTTGCACATTTATACAGTTTTATCAATGTTGAATAAAAATGGTGTTAAGATTAATTTAATCATGTCCTTCAGACATTTGCTTTAAGTTTTGCCTCCTTGTCTTGTTCTTTTTGCAGATTTAACTCTTGGTCAGTTTCCAGCTACACGAGCCAGGAAATTATCTTGCAGTCAGGAACTACTGTCATTGCCATTTTGTGTTAAGTAAAGTATTTGGCATTTTCTCATAACAATGTTCCAAAAATGTAATGTTTAGTGATTATATTCCCAATTTAAATTACACCTAAACAAGGTTGACTGCCGTAAGCTTTAATTTCTGGTCCCATTTGTCAAGTTAACAAGGGTGTGGAAGTGGAAGCTCAGCA